CTCTCTCTCTCTCTCTCTCTCTCTCTCTCTCTCTCTCTCTCTCTCTCTCTTTTGAGATAGAGTCTCATTATGTAGTCTTGGTTGTCCTAGAATACCCTATATAGCTATATAGACCAGGCAGGCCTCGAACTCACAGAGATCCATCTGCTTCTGCTTCTTGAGTACTGGGATTAAAGTTGTGTACCACCGTGCTTGGCACCATTGAATAGCTTCAATAGCTCTGTGACCTGAAGTGGGCTGGTGGCCTTCCTTAAGCTTCAGTTTCTTCTTTTGAGAAACACTGATGCCAGGCACAGTGGTGTACATCAGAGCAGTCTCAGCAAATAGAGGCCGAGGTAGAAGAATAAGTTGAGGCTAGCTTGGGCTAGTGAGACCCTGTCTCAAAATTTAGAGCTTAACTGAGGTAAGATCCTGGTAGTTACTGGATGCTCAATAACTGAGAAAATAGGTTGAGTAGGTGTTACCTCAGGAAGCTGCTCTGACTGCTGTTAGGAAGTGAAAGACCTCCCCTCCCCTCTAATGTGTCTCAAAGCCAAATAGTCTAGAGTTGAGGGAGGTACTATTTTGGACCAGAGGGTTGTCTTGGGAAGATTTCCTGGCGTTTGAGGTCAGATGAGAGAACATGGGAGAGACGGCAGACTCATGGGCCTCCTGGCTCAGGGTCCTGCCTATCCTTGTTCCTAGGACTGCGCCCAGGGTACAGCCAAGTGTGTGGTATACAGCTGCCCACTCTACAGCTTTGATCGTGCAGCCGTGCTCCACGTCTGGGGCCGCCTCTGGAACAGCACCTTTCTGGAGGTGAGGGTACCACTGGGGTTCTAGACTGGGTATCTTCTGTAAAAGCCCCATTGGAGTTTGCTTCTTCCCCTTTCCCATCCGAATGCAGCACTCTGTAAAGGCAAGTTTACTCTCTGCCTTGGCACCATCCTGTCTGTAATCTCAGTGGCTAGGGAGGGTTGAGGGGAATGTGAGCATTGAGAAGGAGTCTCTTCCCTAACACCTTAGGAGTACATGGCCGTGAAATCCTTGGAAGTGATCGTCCGAGCCAACATCACAGTGAAATCCTCCATTAAGAACTTGCGGCTCAGAGATGCATCCACGGAGGTGAGCTGCCGGGCTGGAGGATGTGGTGGGTGGGTGGGGACTCTCCTCTTTCCCACTCACTTCAGCTTTTGAGCTTCTTGTTTTTCAGATCCCAGTGATGGTGTACTTGGACCCCGTGGCCGTGATTGCAGAAGGAGTCCCCTGGTGGGTCATCCTCCTGGCAGTGCTGGCTGGGCTACTAGTTCTGGCCCTGATGGTGCTGCTGCTCTGGAAGGTGAGGCTTGGGGAGGGATGGAAGCAGTGTGGACTAGAATTAGAGCAAGGTGGCTAACCTCTTACCCACACATGCACTCATCTCTGTGTGGGTGCCATTTGCCAAAAGCCAGCTTGGACAGGTCAGGTACACTGTTGAGGAGGGGTGTGGAGCCGGCGATTAATCACTCAGCAGACTTTTCTCTGAGGGAGTAAAACAATTCTCTGAGGCTAGTGAAAAGGATGAGAAAATACACACACACACACACACACACACACACACACAGACCCACACATAGACACGTACATAAACCCATACACATACATACACACACGTACATACATGCACATATACATACACATATAATACACACACATATATACATATATACATATACACACACATAGACACATACATAAACACATACACATACATAGATATATACATACACACATACACACACACATACATACAGACATTCATACACAACACATAGACATGTACATAAACCCATACACATACATATACACACATAGATACATACATATACATATATACATACATGCACATATACATATACACATAGTACACACACATACACACATAGACACATACATAAACACATACACACACATAGACACATAAACACATACACACACATGGATACATACATACACACATACATGCATATAAATATGCATACACACATAACACACACACACACACACATACACGCGTGCGCACTTACTTGGTGGATGAAGCAAGGCTCCAACAAGCTCCAACAACTTTATGTTTGCCCTATAGCTTATATATTCCAGCAAAATCTTTCAAGCAATATACAAATTACCCTGTGGTTACTTACATTCTATTTTTCTTATATTTTTGGCTGTGAGCCTAGCCTTTAACAGCTAAGCCATCTCTCCAGCCCACATTCTATTTTTCTTTAAGTGAATAATTACAATCAGTTATATGTTTAAAAATAAAAGCATGTTCCCAATACCATTATATGATCAAACACTGTACATATTACAGGTGAAAAAAACAAATTATTCCCAAGGACCCATGTATGTTCATGTTTAATAACTTGTTATAGATTAACAAAGGGTAAACAAACAAGTTGTTTTTATCAACCAGTTCTCTTACAGGGAGGCTGCAATTTGTGATTACAAAAAAAAAAAAAGAGGGTCAATTATTTTATTATTTACCTTCAAAAGTAATTTTATAAAAAAAATCTTAAAAGAATCACAATTCTAAGCTTTTATAATAAAAGCAATCAGCCATTCCTACTTTAAATCCTCAGGGTACACACCTGCTCATCAGTAGTTTTTTAGATGGGTACAAGAAATTAACTATCACCTCGATCACCAGTCCGCCCTTAGCAAGAAAGACACATCGGCTAGTACTAGTCTGGCTGCCATTGCTCTTACTCCTTGGCCTCAAAAAAAAAAAAATCCCTCACTCAATTACCAAGAGTGTGACTTTCTCAACTTTAAATTGTTCTCTAAGATTTTCTATGTCAAAGACAGAAACAAAAACATTTTAACCTAACTTTACTAATAATCTACATTTCTAAATTCTTTCTAAGGGTAGTGATTGGGTCATTAATCTCCTCCAGCAGCAGCAATATTTGGAAAAGATAAATTATTATTTTTATTGTTGTTGTTTTGTTTTTTGTTTGTTTTTTTTTTCGAGACAGGGTTTCTTTGTATAGCCTTGGCTGTCCTGGAACTCACTCTGTAGACCAGGCTGGCCTCGAACTCAGAAATCCGCCTGTCTCTGCCTCCCAAGTGCTGGGATTAAAGGCGTGTGCCACCACTGCCCAGCTATTATTATTATTGTAAATGCCAATGATATTGCCCAGTGAGGAGCTGGAGACCCCCATAGAGTTTCCGTATGGCTCATAGATCATGACCAGGAGAGCATCAAGCAGAGCAAAACTCCAAAACAGCATCAAGTCTTCAGGATACGTAGTTCTTGGTGCTCTCCCTCTCCGAGGCACACCATGGTGATTGTGCTAACTGGTGGGCTGCATTCCATGAGTTCTAGAGCTGTTTTGCTGTTCCTCTTGCATGGCCCCCTGCAATCTAGGGACTCTGTTGAGTACTTACCCTGTGTACACCAGGAACTCCATCTGCCCCAGATGTGTCTCTGGTACAGACCTTGCCCTCAAGGATTGTGTAGTCTAGTGGGAGTTGGAGGCTTGTAGTTGAGGGCAAGGCGGAAGGTGTTAGTGGAGATAATGAGAACTCAGAGGGCATTAGAGGGCATTCCCTTGGAGCTAGGCCTTAGAAGAGGGTGAAGTGGTAGGATCGGGATGTGAGACCTCCAGAAGAACCACGGTGGATAAAGCCACAAGAGTAGGGAAGTGTGGTCTAATTTAACCATACTGTGGCAGCAAAGGCTGGGAAGGAAGCTGTGATCAAGGACCATGTCTGTGGAGCAGTAGCTAAGGGAGCTGCTTGGAGCTGAGTGGTAGCTGCATACCAGGCCGCACATGGAACCATTCTTGTTTGAACAGAGCTGTAACAGAATCCTATCGGCTCAACATAAAAGCACACACACGCACGTGTCAGTGCCGGGGACCTCATGCTCCACCAGGCTCAATCCCTGAGCCACATGTCACATGTGGGGCTGGTGCATGACCAAGCACACACTTGGGGCTCTGTGGACTGCTTTGCCCACCTGCTATTTGACAAGTGTGTGTCATCAGTGAGCCACATGCTGTTGAGAACTTGCCCAGTCTTAGGGACGATTAATGCCTTCAGGATTGGCCTCAGGATGCCTGTCCCATCCACTACTCCCACAGAACAGATATAAAGGTCCACTTCCTCCTCAGTCTTCCCATACTCTGCCTCTCTCCCCTTATCCTTCAACATCCCAGTGTGGCTTCTTCCGTCGGAACAGTCCAAGCTCATCATTTCCAACCAACTATCACCGAGCCCATCTGGCCGTGCAACCCTCGGCCATGGAGGCTGGGGGTCCAGGGACTGTGGGGTAACTGTTGTGTGTGCATGTGTGTATGCAAATGTGTGTGTATATCTATGTGCTTCTGTGTGTGGGTCTATGTACAGATCCCAGAATTGGGGTATGGGGGTCATGAATGTGCAGGGGTGCGTGTGTGTATAAGGAATGTGCAGGGTAAAGAGAAGTGTGTACAATGGAGGTGAAGGTCCTAGTGTCTGAGGTAAGGAGTAACTAGAAAGGTGAGGTTTTAAGTATGAGCGTACATAGCCCAGCATGCACAGACAGTGGGTAGGCTTAGGAGTGTGAGCATGTGGGCATGTGGGGGTGGTTCCATGCATGTCTTTTCTGTGGGAATGAGTGTGTGCAGAGATAATTGTGCAAGGAGATCTGTGCAGTCTGAGCATGCAAGAGTCTTGGCTATTCTCCAAGGAGTTTTAGTATGCAAGTGATCTAGCACTACCTTGGTAGGTGAGGGGTTAAGCTTCTGTATTCATGGATGCAAGGGCCCTGACCTAAGGGAATGCATACAAGCACACAAGTGTATGCATATGAGGTTGGAGGGGCAGAAGGTCTAGAAGGCTATTTATCCCTTGGATCTTGTATTCTAGGAGATACTACTGAGGTTTTTAAAGAAGTTTAAGTAGCAGAGGAAGGCTTGGGCTGTCCTGATGTTCAGCTTCAAGCCTCTCTTTCAGGGACCACTGGAGATTTCCTTGGTTTTGCTCCTTGGGTCTCCTTCTGGTTTTCCTCTTGCTGTGAATGAGAACCTTGGACCCTGGTACTGATGGTAGCAAGCTAGGGGCTGCCCACTGTGCTGGACGCTGACCAGCCTACTTCACTTTTGCTTCAGCTGGTTCTTTCTAGCCCAGGGATGGTGAGGGGCTTTGAGGGACCTCAGTTCTGCAGTCTCCTTATGATCTGACTTGGTGTCTTTACAGCTGGGATTCTTCAAGCGGGCGAAGCACCCCGAGGCCACTGTGCCCCAGTACCATGCAGTGAAGATCCTTCGGGAAGACCGGCAGCAATTCAAGGAGGAGAAGACAGGCACCATCCAGAGGAGTAACTGGGGCAACTCCCAGTGGGAAGGCTCTGATGCACACCCCATCCTGGCTGCCGACTGGCACCCTGAGCTGGGTCCTGATGGACATCCTGTGCCAGTCACTGCATAACTTCTACTGTCCCAAGCTCAGCCTGTGGGTTCCTTCCACCCTTTCCCAAGATGGCTCCTTGGGATAGAGATAGTGGAGTAGATTGCTGGCATCGCATTGAAATACGGCAGGCTCTGCTTTCTCAGGGGCACAGACCTCTCCCACCATCAGAACCACTCCTCCATCTTCCCTGTACAATGCTGTGAGATGAGGGGCGTGGCTGGAAGGGCAGGCATGTCCTGATGCAGGATGGGGAGAAGGGGCCCTGAGCTCCCTCTCTTGCCCACCCTGTTAAACCTGTCTTCCCCAAAGTGCCTTAGACAGAGGGTCAGGGAAGAGATTGTGTCACTGTCTCAGGGGCCCTTCCCTCCTAAGTCTTCCCTGTCCTCTGGCCTTAGTGTGCTGTACCAATCCAGTGGTTTTGTCTATTTATTAAAAAAATATTTGACAATAAAAACGCCGACTGCTTTATTGAGTGCTGCTCTCTCATCCTGAGGTTTTTCTGCTCTCTTCAACCGAAGCTCGGGACAGAGTGGATAGAGGGGAGGGAGGCCGAGGTAGCCTGGCAGGGGATACATGTATTGACTTGGAGCCAGTTCCAAGGGACACATGGTGTAGTCTCAGAAGGACAGCAGGGAGAACTTTACCACAGGGGCAAGAGAGAGGGAGAATAGGGGTCCTAGGAAGGGGGGTTGGGTAAAGTCCAGGGCTTTGCAGTATAGTTTTCTGCCTCTGGAGAAAGCAGGAAGAAAGCCTCACTGTGGAGAAAGGCTGAAGCTGATTAATGATCACCCTGGCAGTGGCAGCGGTGCTAAGAGTCTCTCTGATGCTTTACCTGACCTCCTCCTTAGAAGTACTGGGTGGCTTCTGGCTGCAGACGGGGAGATCAGATGGCCTCCTTGGGGAGAGTTATTTCACAGCTTTTCCCATGATGTGGGGCCCAACAGGTAACCACTTGAAGGGAGGGGGCTGCCATTCCAGTTGGACGTCAGAGAACTGTGCCCTCTCAATGTCTTTCCAGGTCTCTCTGGTGAGGCGGCAGCCATCTCCGATGTGTTTCCAGGTAGGCTCTAAAACTCGCTGCCATAGGAAGGCCTTGCTTCCCTGAGGCTCAGACACGTGCTCCCAGAAGAACAGCAGGCCTCCCTGGGAGGGAGGGAGGGAGGGAGGGAGGAAGGGAGGGAGGGAGGGAGGGAAGAAGGAAGGAAGGAAAGAAAGAGGGAGAGAGGAAGTTAAGAACATTCATCTACTCTATCTTGCTCTTTTTGTCTCAATTCTCTTCTTTCTGTCAGACCCAGCTTGTCTGATCTCTGCCCTAAGAGAACAAATGGCTCCAGACATTACCTGTATGTCTAGCTTCTGCCCTCCTAACAGTGCATATGAGGAGCTTCTGGTAACTGGGTGGCCATGACAGGGGAAGGAAAGGTTCTTATAGAATTACTAGGAATACTATACAGTAGGGAACAGGAGCAACTGAGAGGACTTCCAGGTGTGTAACCTTCGAACACTGTGACACGATACTTGTTGTCTACCTGTTTGTCCTCAAGAAATCTGTGATTAAGCTTTTTTGAGACAGGGTTTCTCTGTGTAGCCCTGGCTGCTCTGGAACTCACTCTGAAGACCAGGCTGGGCCTTGAACTTAGAGATCTGTCTGCCTCTGCCTCCCAAGTGCTGGGATTAAAGGTGTGCACCTAGCTATTTTGTGGTTAAGTTACAAAAAGTCACAAGAAAGTCTTATTGTATTTTAAAGACATTTACAAATTTGTGTTGGTCCACTTTCATAGTTGACCTGAGGCTGTGGGTTAGATACATCTGCTAGATAAGAGATGTGATCCCAGCCTCTCCTGAGATTCTGATGTCCAGGATAACCCAGACATCCCAGGGCTTCTGATTACAACAGAACTTCAAGTCCTTTCCTGAAGTATACTCTTCCTAGGGAATTTGTCCACCCCCATACTGAATTACCACGGGAAAGTCACGTGGTCCAGAGCTCATTCTCTAGACCACATCTAGTCCTGACTTCCAGACCTGAACTTCTAACGACCCACGTGGCTTCTCTGCACGGATGTCTTAGTGGCTCCTGAGACCCAGCACGTCCAGTTTTTCCCTTTCATCAAGTGGACGATTCATTCACGCCCTGTTCAGTTGTGCAAGTCAGAAACTTTGGAAAATTTCCTAAATTCCTATCTTTCCACACCCCGCTCAAACTCTCATTGACTTGCCTCCCCCTAACATTTCTACTTGAAGAGTTTTATTCCGCCCCCCTCCCCCACAATCCTCCACTAGAACGTCTTTATTTCCCCCACCTCCTCCACACCATAACTTCTCAGACATCAATTTAAGCTTCACTGCCTTCGGTATCTTCCCTAGCTCTCCTCATACCCCTGTGTTTCCATAGCATCCTATTGTTCCCCTCATAGATCTCCCATCCATCGTAAGATGCACAGGCCCAATAGGCCATTCCGATGGTGTATTCAGATGTCAGACGGTGCGCTGCATCAGCCTCCTCTGGAGTTGCCCATGCTATGCTTACCTGCTCCAGGCCTATACCCTTCCTAGTCTACTCACCGGCCTCAGGACTCTTCGGACTTCCTGCAGGACCTTTTTGGGGCTCTGCACAGAACATAGCACCAGGGTACAGACCACTACATCCATGGAGTTGTCAGCCAGTTGTTTCATGTTCTCTCCATAAGCCACAATAAAGCGCTCGTATTGGAGGTGCCTGTTCTCAGCCATGCTCTTCGTCAGGAACTTCTCAAAGTTGGGGTTTGGGTCCACGCAGGTGACCCTGCAGCCAGCCGGGTAGAACTCGAAGTTGGCACCAGTGCCACAGCCCAGCTCCAGCAGGGCCACGTTGCCAGAAGTCCCCTTAAGATCTTTTATCTGACTAAATAGTTCCCGTTTCTTGCCTTCCATCTTTTTGTAGGACTTGGCTGTTAGTGTGGCCATTAAGTAAGGGAAGTAGGTTTTGCATATAGGTTGCCAGAAGCCCAGCAGAGCCAGTAGGTGCAGAGGTAGAGTCAGGAGCAGTACCAGCAGCTGCAGAAATGGAACCAGGGCATCCATGATACCAGTTCCTGATGGTGTGTCTCACGGAACACTGAATTTTTGCCTCTATCCAGGCTCTCCTCCTCCTCTGACAGGACTTTGCTCTCTGCCTCCTGCCTGGTAATTCTTTTACTGGGCGGAGCATGTGCACCGTATGGAATTCCTCCAGAAGCATGGGTCACACAGTGGCACTGGCTCTTCAACACATTTTATGTCGGTGAAGGATCAAGGCAGTGCCTATGTTACTGTGTTATAGAAGATAACTGAGTATGCTGGCTTGTCTCAGAGGGAGCAGGAAGGGTGCCAGGTGCGGAGGCATGTTTCAGATCACAGCCTCATGGAAGCCAAAGTCTGGGAGCAGAGTTGACTCACTCACTGTTCTCAGGTTGTACAAGCCAGAAACACCCTCAGGGATTTTATAATCAGCAAAATACCTTTGTCCTAAATGATGGTCAAATAGAATTTACAGGATTAGGCCTCATGGTTATGAGAAGGAGGGAGATTACTGGTCAGAAGAAAGGCTCTGGAGCAGGAGATAGGCCACAGCAGCAGAGTGCTGGTCTGCTGTGCTCGAGGCCACGAACTGAAGAGGACACTTAAAAAAATCCGTGAAATATTATATTTAAAATTTTATGTATGTATGTATGTATGTATGTATGTATGTGTGCATTGCACGTATGCTCTTGAGCATATGTGTGCTATGGTGCAATTGTGGAGGTCAAATGACTACTTGTGAGAGTTGGTTCTGTCCGTCCACCACATGAGTACTAAGGATTGAATTCAGGTTGTCCGGTTTGTCAGCAAACGCCTTTACCTGCTGATTCATTTCAACAGACTCTGACTTTCTTTTTAATGTTAGGAATGTGAGTGTGTGTATGCATATGTACACATGCCTGTGTGTGCGAGCATGTGGAGGTCAGAGTTGGTTCTTTCCTTGCACCTTTACGTAGCTTCTGGGGGTCCAGGTCTGTAGATTTGCACAGAAAACACTTTAGTTAGATCAACCATCTCACTGGCTCTAAGAAGACATGTTTTTGAGCTGAATACTCATTTCAAATTCAAGGCCTCCAGGCTCCATAAATAGAAGAAAAAGAGGAGACAAGGAAGGAAAGAAGAAAGAAGAGCAAGCAGGGAGAGAAAGAGTCTGGAGACCTGAGGTTAGCCCTGGTTTGGCTGTGAGCTCTGTGACCTGTTGGGAATGTTCTTATATATCAGACAAGACGAAAGAAGATGTGTGAGGTCCTTATGTGATTTCCAGTGCCCTGCCCTGCCCTGCATTTGTATGACCTGTGGAGAGTCGGGGTAAGAAGCGAGAAGCTGCTCCAAGAGTCCTTGGGAACCTGATGGCAACTCAGTACAGTAAAGCTTCAGGAACAGATCAGGGCTGGCACTGATGCAGGTGTGTGTGTGTGTGTGTCTCACAGCATCCTAGTACAAACCCCTAGGTACTGATTTCTTTTTGCCTCATATGCCTGAAGCTTCCCTTAGTGTCTCAGTAAGTCCTCGTGGACAGTCTTGAGGGCTGCATAGCAGTGGCAGCAGCCATTTTCCTTTTTTTTCTCTTCTCTTCCTCTTCCTCCCCTTCCCCTCCCCTCCCCTCCCTTTCTTCCTCCTCCTCCTCCTCCTCTTCTTCTTTCTTCCTTCTTCCTCCTTCTCTCTTTCTTGTTGTTGATGTGCTGGGCTGGGGTAGAGTTAAATTTTTTTGCTAGGCAACTGCTTCACCACTGAGTTATATCCTCAGTCCCAAAGAAAGTGGTTGAATGTAAGTATTGGCCATGGTTGGGGTTCAATGATCAGAGTACTCACTTGGCATGTGGTGGTCCTGCTTCTAGAACCCAAGAAAACAGGTGACACATGTCCCTCATTCCAATAAAAAATTGTCTGTCTATCATCTATCTATCTATCTATCTATCTATCTATCATCTATCTATCATCTATCTATCTATCTATCTATCATCTATCAATCTATCATCTATCTATCTATCATCTATCTATCTATCTATCTATCTATCTATCTATCTATCTATCTATCTCTTTCACTGAAAATAGATTCTTTTCTCATACAGAACATCCTGACCACTTTCCCCTCCCTCCGTTCCTTCCAGTGCCCTCTGACCTCCCCTCTTTCCTGAACACCATCTCCCATTAGAAAAGAGCAGGCCATCAAGAGGCAACAACCTAATATGACAAAACAAAATATAATAAGGTAAGTCAAGGGCCCTCACGCTGAAGCTGGAAATTCAACCCCAATAAGAGGAAGAGTCACAAGAGCAGACAAAGAACCAGAGATGCACCTGCTCCTACAGTTAGGAGTTCTAAAAAAAAATAACAAATTAACTGTCACCATACATATAGATTGGAACTGGGATAGACCCATGCAGGCCTCATTTCTCTGTGTAGCCCTGGCTGTCCTGGAACTTGCTCTGTTGCCAAGGCAAGGGTGGCCTTGAATTCAGAGATTAGCCTGTCTCTGCCTCCTGAGTGCTTAGCTTAGAGGGGTGCACCACCATGCCAGTTTTATCATCTTTTTGTTACTTATTATAAAAGTTTGGATTTTTTTTATATAACTGATTGTTGCTTCATTTATCATCACTTTTGAGCTTTGTATAACTTTTTTTTTATGTAGTGACTTTACTAAATCCTCCCTCCCTCTCTCCTTCTTTCCTTCTCTCTCTCTCTCTCTCTCTCTCTCTCTCTGATTCAAGTTTTCTCTCTCTCTCTCTCTCTCTCTCTCTCTCTCTCTCTCTCTATCTCTATCTCTATCTCTATCTCTATCTCTCTCTCTCTGATTCAAGTTTTCTCTATGTAGCTCTGGCTGCCCTGGAATTCCCTCTGTAGAGCAGGCTGGCTTTGACTTCAGTGATTCACTTGCCCCTGCCACCGAGTGCTGGAAATAAAGGTATGTAGCACTGTGCTGGACTACATAGATTATTTTTAAAAGACAGTCTCACAATAATAGCAAAGTCAAGAGAAGGAACTTTCCTATTTAGGTCTGCCCTACACATGCATAGCCTCCATTAGAAACTCAGTGGCCATATCACGCCTGCAGAACAGCTTCAAAATCACATCCTGAACATCATGTCATTTTACCTACACATCTCTATTTTTCTTCAAATTTTACTCTTTATTCCTTTTTAAAAAATGGTTACCAGTTACTTTCTTTTCTTTTGTTCTTTTATTATTATTTTATTTATTTACATTTCACTCACTCTCTCCCCCCTCAGTTCCTCATTTCATTCCTCCTCCCCCTTGCCTCTGAGAGGGTGCTCTCTCCCACCAGGCATCCCCCTTCCCTGGGGCCTCAAGTCTCCTGAGGATTAAGCACATCTTCTCTTTATTACATTTTTAAAATTACAATTAATTTTATTAATTTTTTAAATCACATTTTGCATGTGCACATGCCAAGGTACAAATGTGGAGGTCAAAGGACAACTTGTGAGGGTTAGTTCTTCTACCGTGTGGTTCTGGGTGTTGAATACAGGTTGTCAGTTTTGGTGGCAGTAACCTTTACTGGCTGAGCCATCTCATCATGCCTCTTTCTCTTTTAAAGGACATGTTATTAAAACTCAGATACAGTATTGCACTGAGGATGTGGCTCAGTTGTAGAGTGCTTGCTTAGTTAGAATGCACAAAACTCTTTGTTTTAATCCCAGTCCTGTATAAACGGTGTACAGTATAATAGACACTTATAGCCAGATACTCAGGAAGACTCCAGCAAGACTCTTTCAGTTCCACATGTGTGAGCTGTCCCTAAGCCCTGACAGCTCTGTTTCTTGATTTGGTAGTGTTATCTTTCATCATCACTGACATACTCTTACCAGACTGTCATCCTCCCTTGGCTGGCGTGCTGTATGCCTGGTGACTGACTTCTTTATTTCCACCTTCTCTTCTATTCACTCTAGTGGATTCCCACTGTCTTGAACACAAAACCTGAGATCCTTGCTGATGCCCACAAAGCCAGGCACTCACTTGTTGGCCTTTGCCCATGTCTCCTGCTACTGCCCCTCACTGTTCAGATGGAAACATCCTTCAGTTCCTCATATCTCATTCCTTTCAGCTTTTGGGTTCACGTAAAGTCTAGCCAAAATTAGGCAGGCTAGGATCGGTAGATTTCTTGACGGAATGGTAGGAAGGGCCTGGTCAGTGAGCATAGGTCAGGCCAGGAATTTCACAAGGTGTGGACTTCGGGCTGGGACTGGGGCGGGGCCATCAACTCGGAAGGTCAGGGATCAGTGACCATCTGGAATGGGCCAAGGCTTAGGATTGGGATAAAGGTCAGAATAGTAAACACCCAGAGCAAATATCGTTCTTGTAATCTAAGGCAATACTTGGACTTTTCAAAGGGATGGATGTTTCCTCTGGTTGTGAGGGCGCTCACAGGAGCATGAGGAAGAAGCATGAATAGCTCACGGCTTCCCAGCACCTTGTGTGTTTCTCACGTTAAACATCTTTGTGTGTAGTTCATGACTCCTGCCTGTTGCTCTTTTGAGTTCTAAGATGATGTTTTATTATTCCCAGCAAAAATAATTGGAGTAAACAGATAGGAGTTACGACAGGATGTACTGCATGCATTAGGACATGGTGTAACTCCATTCTCCCTTTTGTCAAAGAGAAGGATACAGTGTGGACCAGAGTTTGGAGTTTGTACCTATGGCCCGGAAGCCCTTGAGAGGCCTACAATACTCAATCAAGCAACTCATCTTAATTCAGTGATATTAGGGTTGGTATCCTGCAAGGAACAGGGTACATATCTTAACATTAGGAATGATACAGGATTTCTAGAACCTGGCAGTGGTGGCATATATTTTAAATCCTAGCACTCAGGAGGTAGAGGAAGGTGGACCTCTAAGTTTGAGGCCAGCCTGGCCTACAAATTGAGATCAGGGATAGCCAGAGCTACACAGAGAAACTACCTCAAGTAACAAAACCAGAAACAAAATGATACATGATTTCTCAATATAAAACTAAGTTTTATTGACTTGGGTGAAAAATTAATCCGTGCTGTGACGAAGTGTGTTTGCTTCTTGGATGGCCTGGCTGCAACACACAACATCAGTCTACGTCAAATATGGAACTGGAGATAGCTCTTCTCCACTTAGGATCTGATGA